AAAAATCGACTACACCAAAATTTCTCGGGAAAACACTTTTTCTTATTAATTGGGGTGCGTAGAATCCAAAACAATTCGTACTTTTTCGATCAGACTTCTCAATCAAAAGTTATAGACTAGAAACCAATTTCGAAAGAAAATTCAAAGGGCTGTAACTTTTGAACTAGTAGCCCAATCTTGTAACTGTTTGAAATTATGGATTCTACAGGCCACATTCTATAAGAAAATTGTTTTTCCGGATCAATCTGAGACAATTTTTTTTCGAGTCTCAAAAAAAGGCAGTGTAATACCTTCCTTTTTTTTTACCAAAAACGACTACACCAAAATTTCACGGGAAAACACTTTTTCTTATTAATTTGGGTGCGTAGAATCCAAATCCATTCATACTTTTTCGATCAGACTTCTCAATCAAAAGTTATAGACTAGAAAAAAATTCAAAGGGCTGTATAAGTGGTGTAGTTCCGGACCCTTGTGACTCAGACAGACAGACATCAAGAGCGCAAAAGTGCACTTTTTATTTTTTGAAAAACAAAATGCAGCATTGGAGGAGAAAGTATCGTCCTGACATCTGTCGGAAGTAATTCACACATTTAGTTCAAGGAGCTAACATTAGATGTCGGAACGATAGTAAATCGACAGTAAACAATCAATTTAACTTAACCTCAAATAGAAAATTAGGAATACATTTGATATAAAACAATTATTAGTGTATTTGATACAATGTTAATAAATCAAAACACAAAAATTGTTAGTAAAAACGTAGTTTTGGTACCTTACCGAAAAGAGCACGTGGAAAAGTAAGAGAGGTTCAATCTGCTGTGTATAAAATCCATAGTAATTTTAGGTACAACAATTGGATGCAATCGGAAGAACTGCAACGCCTAACAGCCTCGGAACCTCTAACTCTCGCAGAGGAATATGAAATGCAACAGTCGTGGATGCGAGATGAGAACAGTAGGTTCGTTCATCATTGCTCAGAGTAGATAAATTGCTGCGTTTCAGAGTGCACTTTTATAATTCTTGATCGTGATACTTACGATAAAACTCAAAACGAAATTGGTATTTGCGTAGTAAAATTTTACACTGTCGTGACACGTTAACTTGCAGAGGCGATGGTCGGCGATACCAATTTGTTTTTTGCAAACGACCTCGATCACGTAGTCGCGGAGGCGGAAATAATGATCGCTGAAACGCAAGCGCGAGGTAAACACATCGGATGGAGAGCTATGCTATTGATGCTAATGTACGGAGTAACGAGTTTGCACGTACGGCAGTACGTTGTCAAAATTACCAGAGATAATCAAATTAGTATTAATATGTTCGAGAAGATGGGTTTTGTCCTTACGAGTACTAGCGAGGTGTTTAATGAAGTTACGTTGAATAGAATTGTAGATGATAGCTGGATAACTTGGCTCACGGCGACTGTGGGTGAATATGATGTTATTGAAGAGGATTAAGTTTTTGTTTTCAACAAAGTTCATTTGTTTCATTGTTAATCATCACACAAATCATGTCTTACGCTGGTTTTACAGCAACAATCAAGTGATCAATTTCTTGTTCAGGTTGCTTTGATAAAGAAAACTTTATGAGTGTAAACACCGAATTGGATGCAGTGCAGTGTAAAACCAAGGAACTTGAGCAAGAAATTGTTCTATATATGAAGTACCTAATTGCTTTGTGGTTAATAAATGATAAAAATATTAAAATTTTCCTCGTTAATTCCACAGTTGACGCTATCTCCGCCATCAATAATCCTAAATCCTTGGCTTATATTAGGTTATAAAAAATGACAGCTATTCAGATTTTATTTGTCAATTTTTTTAAGTTGGCAGCAAATTTGGCCAAAAATGGCGGATGATTGCGGTACTTTCTATATCTAGTGACTTTGGTTAACTCTATGGTCCGAACTCCAAGCGATTTATTTATAAACTAAAAAAATGACGTCTATTCAAAACAGTTCATGTCCAAGTTTTTGGGAAAAAGAAAACCCCGAAAATGTAGTACGGATCACTTCTGAAATATACTTCGAATACTTTTTGATATTTCAGATTTTCAAATTAGTTTAGGGGTTGACACGTGAAGCGATGTTCCTAAGATGGGGGTTAAGATTTACTAAACGTTCTCAGTTACATAATTCGAGTGTATTCCTTTTTTGCAAGCAGACATTTAAAAGGCAATCGAGATGGTTGCATTTAACTCGAGAATTTAGATACGCTTTGGCTAAACTCACGCCACAAGAGGTAGGTGGGATTGTGCCTTTCGTTGCTCACCTTTTATTGCGTAGGTGGATACTGTGCTGACCTGTAACGAGTTCAGTTACGAATTTACTAACGGTACTTCTGTTAAATCGTACGATTCAAATCAGTTGGCTTCAAATCATCCCATTGAAGATACAAGATCGGAAGCATCATGCGTACAAACTCCAGGTTTGCATTGTAACTGTGCGTCATTGGTCTTAACGATGCTTAAGTAGGTGTTCTAATGGGAATATTCGACGGGCACGGCGGAAGCTCGTGCGCTCAAGTTATTTCGAAACGACTCTACCATTACATTGCTCTGTGCTTGCTTTCGCAGAGGGAATTGCAAAATTACGTGGCCTCTTACGAAACGAAGCAACCTTTAGACTTGATACAGCCTTACAACGACAAAGTGCAGTTTGTCGAAGATGTGCGTGATATTTATTTTAATAGTTTTCGAAACTTCACGTTAGACTTATCCAAGGTTCGTTTTCCGAAGGTCTCCCTCGTTCGCTTACGTATTTAACACTGTAGGAAGATGGTCGTGATAATGTCGATGTTCGTAGTGCCCTCGAGAGGGCCTTTTTAAGGCTCGACTCCGACTTGTCCAAAGAAGCTTTGCCAAATAAATATTTCGGGGTTAACATGAAAACGTTGTCGGTCGCCATGTCTGGTGCGGTAAGTTGTGTTGCGCATATCGAGGGGCCGAACTTACATATTGCTCATTTAGGCGACTGTAATGCCGTACTAGGTAAGTCACTTTTAATATCGCTCTTAGTGAAAAACACCTTTCAGGCGTGCTTAGCGAGTCGCACGCTTGGATCGCCAACAAACTGACAAAGGAGCATAACACTTTTAATCCGGACGAAGTGCATCGCATTATGAACGAGCATCCGCAAAATGAAAGTTCTACCATAATCAAAATGGAACGACTGCTCGGCCAGCTGGCGCCCTTGCGAGCATTCGGAGACTTTCGCTACAAATGGAGCAAGCAAATACTCAGGGACGTTGTCATTAAACACTTCGGAGAAACGTCCATACCTCCCAATTACTACACTCCACCGTACTTAACGGCAAAGCCGGAAATTATCTATCACAGGCTGACACCGTGTGACAAATTCCTCGTGATCGCTTCCGACGGTCTGTGGGATCTGATATCGCCAGTTCAAGTCATTCGTTACGTTGGCGAACATATGAGCGGCAAAGTGACTCTTAGTCCCTTAAAGCTACCGCGGAAAAACATGAAGTTAGGAGAAATAAATGAAATGTTACTCCAACGCAAGGAAGGATTGAAAATGAAACCGAAAGACCGAAATGCGGCAACCCATTTAATACGCAACGCACTGGGCGGTACGGAGTACGGTATCGATCACGGAAAGTTATCTCAATTATTAACTTTACCCAATGACGTTAGTAGATTATTCCGGGATGATATTACTGTTACAGTCATTTATTTTGATTCGGAATATTTAAGGCATTGTCCGTCGTAACTTTCAAATGTATACCTGCAATATTGTATATATATCCGTTTCATCGTCGCTTGAAACATGTGCCATTTATGTTACCCGTTAATTGTTTTGTCCAAATAAATGTTTGTTAATACAATACTATTTCAACTTTAAATGGCGCCACCGTCGCTTTTTAGTTCAGCGAGATTTTTCCAAGGGCTTAAATGGCGCCACCGTCGCTTTTTAGTTCAGCGAGATTTCACCAGGGGCTTAAATGGCGCCACCGTTGCTTTTTAGTTCAGCGAGATTTCACCAGGGGCTTAAATGGCGCCACCGTCGCTTTTTAGTTCAGCGAGATTTCACCAGGGGCTTAAGTGGCGCCACCGTCGCTTTTTAGTTCAGCGAGATTCCACCAGGGGCTTAAATGGCGCCACCGTCGCTTTTTAGTTCAGCGAGATTCCACCAGGGGCTTAAATGGCGCCACCGTCGCTTTTTAGTTCAGCGAGATTTCACCAGGGGCTTAAATGGTGCCACCGTCGCTTTTTAGTTCATCGAGATTTCACCAGGGACTTAAATGGCGCCACCGTCGCTTTTTAGTTCAGCGAGATTTCACCAGGGGCTTAAATGGCGCCACCGTCGCTTTTTAGTTCATCGAGATTTCACCAGGGGCTTAAATGGCGCCACCGTCGCTTTTTAGTTCATCGAGATTTCACCAGGTGCTTAAATTTGCGCCACCGTCGCTTTTTAGTTCAGCGAGATTTCACCAGGTGCTTAAATGGCGCCACCGTCGCTTTTTAGTTCAGCGAGATTTCACCAGGGGCTTAAATGGCGCCACCGTCGCTTTTTAGTTCAGCGAGATTTCACCAGGGGCTTAAATGGCACCACCGTCGCTTTTTAGTTCAGCGAGATTTAACCAGGGGCTTAAATGGCGCCACCGTCGCTTTTTAGTTCAGCGAGATTCCACCAGGGGCTTAAGTGGCGCCACCGTCGCTTTTTAGTTCAGCGAGATTTCACCAGGGGCTTAAATGGCGCCACTGTCGCTTTTTAGTTCAGCGAGATTTCACCAGGGGCTTAAATGGCGCCACCGTCGCTTTTTAGTTCAGCGAGATTTCACCAGGGGCTTAAATGGCGCCACCGTCGCTTTTTAGTTCATCGAGATTCCACCAGGGGCTTAAATGGCGCCACCGTCGCTTTTTAGTTCAGCGAGATTTCACCAGGGGCTTAAATGGCGCCACCGTCGCTTTTTAGTTCAGCGAGATTTCACCAGGGGCTTAAATGGCACCACCGTCGCTTTTTAGTTCAGCGAGATTTAACCAGGGGCTTAAATGGCGCCACCGTCGCTTTTTAGTTCAGCGAGATTCCACCAGGGGCTTAAATGGCGCCACCGTCGCTTTTTAGTTCAGCGAGATTTCACCAGGGGCTTAAATGGCGCCACCGTCGCTTTTTAGTTCAGCGAGATTTCACCAGGGGCTTAAATGGCGCCACCGTCGCTTTTTAGTTCAGCGAGATTTCACCAGGGGCTTAAATGGCGCCACCGTCGCTTTTTAGTTCAGCGAGATTTCACCAGGGGCTTAAATGGCGCCACCGTCGCTTTTTAGTTCAGCGAGATTTCACCAGGGGCTTAAATGGCGCCACCGTCGCTTTTTAGTTCAGCGAGATTTCACCAGGGGCTTAAATGGCGCCACCGTCGCTTTTTAGTTCAGCGAGATTCACCAGGGCTTAAATGGCGCCACCGTCGCTTTTTAGTTCAGCGAGATTTCACCAGGGGCTTAAATGGCGCCACCGTCGCTTTTTAGTTCATCGAGATTCCACCAGGAGCTTAAATGGCGCCACCGTCGCTTTTTAGTTCGTCGAGATTCCACCAGGAGCTTAAATGGCGCCACCGTCGCTTTTTAGTTCGTCGATTTTCCACCAGGAGCTTAAATGGCGCCACCGTCGCTTTTTAGTTCATCGAGAATTCCACCAGGAGCTTAAATGGCGCCACCGTCGCTTTTTAGTTCGTCGAGATTCCCCCAGGAGCTTAAATGGCGCCACCGTCGCTTTTTAGTTCGTGGAGATTCCACCAGGAGCTTAAATGGCGCCACCGTCGCTCTTTAGTTCATCGAGATTTTACCAGGGGCTTAAATGGCGCCACCGTCGATTTTTAGTTCGTCGAGATTCCACCAGGAGCTTAAATGGCGCCACCGTCTCTCTTTAGTTCATCGAGATTTCACCAGGGTCTTAAATGGCGCCACCGTCGCTTTTTAGTTCGTCAAGATTCCACCAGGAGCTTAAATGGCGCCACCGTCGCCTTTTAGTTCATCGAGATTCCACCAGGAGCTTAAATGGCGCCACCGTCGCTTTTTAGTTCCTCGAGATTTCACCAGGGTCTTAAATGGCGCCACCGTCGCTTTTTAGTTCCTCGAGATTTCACCAGGATCTTAAATGGCGCCACCGTCCTTTTTAGTTCGTCGAGATTCCACCAGGAGCTTAAATGGCGCCACCGTCGCTTTTTAGTTCGTCGAGATTCCACCAGGAGCTTAAATGGCGCCACCGTCGCTTTTTAGTTCATCGAGATTCCACCAGGAGCCACCGTCTCTCTTTAGTTCATCGAGATTTCAACAGGGTCTTAAATGGCGCCACCGTCGCTTTTTAGTTCATCGAGATTTCACCAGGGTCTTAAATGGCGCCACCGTCGCTTTTTAGTTCCTCGAGATTTCACCAGGGTCTTAAATGGCGCCACTGTCGCTTTATAGTTCATCGAGATTTCACCAGGGTCTTAAATGGCGCCACCGTCGCTTTTTAGTTCGTCGAGATTCCACCAGGAGCTTAAATGGCGCCACCGTCGCTTTTTAGTTCATCGAGATTCCACCAGGGGCTTAAATGGCGCCACCGTCGCTTTTTAGTTCATCGAGATTCCACCAGGAGCTTAAATGGCGCACCGTCGGCTTTTTAGTTCATCGAGATTCCACCAGGAGCTTAAATGGCGCCACCGTCGCTTTTTAGTTCATCGAGAATCCACCAGGGTCTTAAATGGCGCCACCGTCGCTTTTTAGTTCATCGAGATTTCACCAGGAGCTTAAATGGCGCCACCGTCGCTTTTTAGTTCATCGAGATTCCACCAGGAGCTGAAATGGCGCCACCGTCGCTTTTTAGTTCATCGAGATTCCACCAGGAGCTTAAATGGCGCCACCGTCGCTTTTTAGTTCATCGAGATTCCACCAGGAGCTTAAATGGCGCCACCGTCGCTTTTTAGTTCATCGAGATTCCACCAGGAGCTTAAATGGCGCCACCGTCGCTTTTTAGTTCATCGAGAATCCACCAGGAGCTTAAATGGCGCCAGTGTCGCTGTTTAGTTCATCGAGATTCCACCACGAGCTTAAATGGCGCCACCGTCGCTTTTTAGTTCATCGAGATTTCACCAGGGTCTTAAATGGCGCCACTGTCGCTTTTTAGTTCATCGAGATTTCACCAGGGTCTTAAATGGCGCCACCGTCGTTTTTTAGTTCATCCGAGATTTCACCAGGGTCTTAA